CCTGATGGGGCCCAGAGTCAGAACTAAACCAGGTTCTGGTCTCCTGAGTCAGAACTAAACCAGGTGAAGCTCCATTTCAGCTCCAGGCTCCTAAAATCTGGAACAGTCTTCCTGAAGATGTGAGACAGGCTTCAACTCTGAAAATGTTTAAATCCAGGTTGAAAACGCTGTTTAACTGTGCGTATGGAAATTGAATGTATTTTATCTGCACCCTTCACTTTTCATCCGTCTAACTTAGATTATTTTTCTTTTCTTGTTTTTCTGCTTTTAAATTCTCTGTGAAGCACTTCGAATTGTCTTCTACACGAAATGTGCGGTACAAATAAACTTGCCTTGCCACGGAGGAGGAGGGATGAAGCAAAGCAGGCACAAACAAAACAGAGCACAGGAAATAGCCCAGAAGTTTGTCACACGAGCATTTTCCCCAATCGTCCTCATTCAAATCAAGAAGCCCCATGAAGAGACTGAATCAGAGATCAGAGCAGAGTTTGTTTCTTTCTCCCTATTAATTATTCCTTGGGTTAATAAGAACAGTGTAAATGTTCTAAAGAAGAGAATAGAACAATTGGTAGAATAAAAACAAGCTGAAGGATACACCGAAAGCTGCCTGATGTGGTCTTTACCCTGTAATGCCAAATGTATCATATTTGGTAAATACGGTTTCTAAAATGTTTTGGGTCTGACACCTTTTGCTTAATCTAATGGTAAAAACTTTGCTTAAAATCCTATTGTACACAATCAGATACACCTGATAACAGGGGGCAGAAGACTACACAAAAAATAATCTTTACATATCGCATAGTAATAAATGATTAATATAAAAAATGTATTTCTGTTTTTTCTTTTTAGATATTCAGTTAAAAGGCCAAATAAGTATTTCAAACAAAAAAAAAGTAATTTTCAGTTTTGTTTTATTCTTGGATCAGGCTTTAAAGGGTTAAAAGAGGAAACCTCCCCCTGTGGTTCAGCACCATGGACAGCTCAGTGGAAAGAGGAGGCGTGGGGTCAGGATAGGAGAAACTTACCGGCTGTTTTGAGGAGATTCTCCCGGTAACGGCACTCGTCTGATGCCACGTAGAGGAAATATAGTTCTGATTTAGACACAAAGAAAATGTAGACATTAATAAATCAAATAGTCAGACTCAACTGCGATTAAAAGACGAACAAAGCAATTATAAGAGGGGAAAATGAACAGAAAAGGGAGTTTTTTTTTCCTAAAACAGATCCCAGACGAAAAAAAACACGGTTCTCATTATGTTTCTGGACAGACGGCCATTAACTGTACGGTTTCCAGTTTTTAAAAGCGGTTTGCAGCATAAAAAAATACGTCAGCGGCGTGCTCAAAGCCCGGTAAACAGCACTGAACGTGTACCAGATCAGAACTGGATAATCAGGGAGGATTTCTCTGATCATTTTGTCTCTTTCTGTTTTATTTATTCATTTATTTTTCTCTCCCAGTTGGGGGGCAGATATCTCTCTGTTTATTTACAATTCACCCAATGTATCCCCTTTCTCTTCCCTGTGAGCCTTTTAAAGTGTAAAAATAAAGATTTGTAATAAAGAAAACAATCAGATAACACCCGACTGTGTCTAAAAGAATTAATAAGAGGTGTTCAATAACAAATAGCTGCACCAATATAATGGCAAAACCTTTAAACGAGTCTTTCCATGGAAGCATAAGGCTTCTTTTCTTTTTTTTTCTCTTCTTTTTTTTTAAGTTTCCGGCTCACCTTGCTCCTTATGCAGGAAAGAATCCCATCGACAAAAGTGGACTTGATTTTGTGAACCTGAGGAGCAACAAAGCAGCCATTTTTAAAAGTAAAACCATGTCAAATAAAAGCATAAAAGCGGTTTATTCACAAACTTTCTGTAAGCTCTAAAAGAAACAAACACCGGCCAACTTTAAGAGAGTGTTTTAGATAGATAGATAGATAGATAGATAGATAGATAGATAGATAGATAG